AAAAAAAAACAGTTTAAAGAGCACTTGGTTCTACACTCAGAATTATATCTTCCAATGAAGGGTCAGTCCTCAGGCATAGTTGACATTAAAAGGCCCATTTATAATATCTTGACAATTTGACTATCGGCAAATATTTCCCAAAGTGTGGTCCTTGAAACATTAGTCCTTGGTTGATACTCCATGGAAAAAGGGCTCTGAAATGTCTTACAGAAAAGACACATGTGAAATTTTGTTGAGTATAAGCCATTCACAGGGATAGTCATCAACAGTCTATTCAAATTATGAAGAATATCATTAGTAGCAATCGGCCATGAAACAAATTTTAAATATTTTTGCTTAATTTAAAATGTTTATGGGAGCCTCACTTTTTAAATGTACTGTAAGCTAAACTGTATACCATTTTGTTTTAAACTTATTACATAAAATTATAAAATTAGTTAAAATTATATTGGGCCTTATTGTTTTAAAATTCATACATAATTTTAAAAAGTTATACGTGATTTTTAAAATAAAATACTTTTAAAAACTCAAGAAACTTTTTCTCTACATTTGCACATGGGTTCATCTACTAATGTGCAATAGTTTTCTATTTTGAAAAATTTTTAAATCCATTTAGAGCCTTTCTATAGATAGATTTTGCATGTGCTTGCAAATCTAGAGAAGTTATTGTGTATTGCAGTATAAAAAACTGCCCTAAACCTTAGAGGCTTAAAACATCATTTTGTTATCTCTAATGATTTTGTGGCTTGACTGGGCTCAGCTGGGTGGTTCTTCTATTGGTGTCTCTTAGGGTCTCCCATGAAACTGCAGTCAGGTGGTGGCTGGGGTTAGAGTCATCTGGAGGCCAGGAGGGATGCTGTGACAGCTGGGTCTTTCCCTGGACGTAGTTTCAGAGTGGTTCTTCAGCAGGGTAGCTGAACTTTGCATGGTGGCTCAGAACTTCCAGAAACACAAAAGGGAAAGCTTGTTATGACTTTCATGGGTTCTTTCATGTGAGACTCTTTCTTCATAAAAAAGAACAAAAATTATGTTTTATGTCTGCATTGGTATAAAAATGAATATATTAATATTATATGCTAAAATTTTTTCTTTGACCTAAAAGTTCATTTTTTGTTTTCTTCCAGTTTTAAAAGGAGTTTTACGGCCCATTGCTGTGGGGCACAAAGTATTATAGGCCCTCAGCACTATTGTGTCTAATGGATAAGTTGGCCCTATCTTCCAGGCCTTCTGCCATATCTATTAGTTAAAACAAGTCACAGGCCAGCCCCGAGAGGAGACTGCACAAGGCATAAATATCAGGAAGTGGAGTTCACTGGGGGCCATCCCTGGAGAAGAGTTATCACCTTTGATTAAAACACAGTTTCAAGAAAGGGTCTGTCAACCTGTTTTCCCTAACTCACTTCCTTGTGGAAATGACATTAGAGGAAAGTATGCTTTTCTGGTACAGTTGAGAAGGGAGATTTATCATCTGGCCCACTGGGCGATCAGCTGGATTGACCTGAGACATTAACATTCCTTTGGTCGCTCACAATTTCACTAGAGTGCATCTTTTGCAGTTTTTTATTTAATTATATTTACTTATTTATTTTCAGGAAAGTCAGAAAAACCTCAGTAACCTGGGTGATCGTCAGTCTGTGCACCTCAATGTTGATTTTCAACCTCCTCTTCGTGTTTGGAATTGAAAACAAGAACTCTAAGATAAGTGATAGTGACACCAATAATATGGATTCTGAGAATAACAAAATACCTGAAGAAAGCATTATTACCACCCCAAATCCCACGTGCACGGTGATTGCTGCCTTGCTGCACTATTTTCTGTTGGTGACATTTACCTGGACTGGACTCAGTGCTGCACAGCTCTATTTCCTTCTACTTAGGGCCATGAAGCCTCTTCCTCAACGATTCATTCTTTTCATCTCTTTAATTGGATGGGGTAAGTGTTTGCTTCTCCATTTACTCAGGAATTTAATTTTGTTGAAATCACTCAATTTAAGCAAACACCTATTGAAGGAAGGCCTAATTGTAGGAGGCCTTGAGGTAAGGACGATGGAAAATCCAGAAATCAGAAAGAGTACCCTCTGCCTCGTAGCTCAGACTCCTGTGAAGAAGGCAGATGGATCAAGTCAGCTCTTCTAGATACGTCATAAGTTTACTTCATGTTAATTTCCTTTAACATCTCTATTAACTTGATTGGAGATTTGGCCCACAAATAATTTTCTAGGTACTTTAAAATAAATGCTTTAAAAAAGACAATTAGAGTGACTCTTTAANGGACAGCAACTTACCTGTTCCCCTTCTCCCAATTCCCCAGCGCTGTTCCCATTCCCCAATTCCCCAATAAAAATCTTAAAAAAAAAAAGAAAATTAAGGACAATGAAAACATCACAGATCAAAACTTGTTGGATGTGAACAATGAGGTATTTAAAGGAAAATGTATATCCTTAATACACTTATTAGAACAGAAAGGAAATTGTTAAAAAAAATAAACTAAATGTTCAGCTAGAGAAGCATAAATATAAAATAAATATAAAGAAAACTAGAAGGGAGGGGTTAAGAAATACAAGGGTAGAAATTAATAAAAATAGAAATAAACAAATGCTAGACTTGATGAACAAAATGAAAAATTGATTTCGTGAAAAGACTAATGAAATACACAGTCTTCTGAAAAATTTGATCAAGAAAAGAGAAAAAGAATTTCAATAAAGATTTGAAGGAGGCCTAAAAATATGGAGGCTTTTCAAAATTACAAGATAGTGGTAAATACAATTTCTTCTAATGAATCTGAATATCTAGATGAGATGATGATTTTCTAATAAATGACCAAAATACTGTAAGAATGAGGAGAGGGGTGAGCAGAAACTGCCATTTTAAAATATACATCTATGATTTGAATTTTACATCAAGCATTGTCATTCTTTTATAAAAAATAAATTTAAAAAAACTTACTTCATTTTTAGGGTTAACTTTGTCATCTGTTGTCCAAGAGAAACAATTTGGTGCAGTCAATATGTCATGAAAAAACCCTAGAAACCAATGTCTTTATTTCCAGGTGGAAGATAGAACCACGTGGCTGACTGTGGAAGACATTTTGGGGGCTATCAAGGCCTTGCCTGCCTATCTCTCAAATCACATGCCTAAATAGGCTGGTTTTTCCTTCTATCACTTTTAAATTATAGCACAGTTTACAGAATTAATTCAATTAAAATGTATACTTATTGTTGGTGCTTCTGTTTTTAAATATGGCCAACAGTTGCATGAAGTGTTAGAAGGCATTTCTTAGATGGCTCTGTCTGAACACTGCCATGGCCAGCCTCATGGCAAAAGCCTCCACTGCGGCCATGCTCTTCTAGGACCTCTGAGGAACAGCTGATCACTTTTTCCAATGTCTTGAAGAAATGTGTCACAGTAGTCCTCAGTCCTGGGGAAGCTTGTGATTGTCATGAAGTAGCAGAGACCAATAGTTTAAGAGCTGATGGGAAGAATTTGGCTCCATTGAAAGAGTCCCTGATACGAACAACTTGTCTGGCTCTGTGATTTAATAAACTGGACCTTGCTCATTCCCTCTGAACAGAAGACAGACCTCCCAGAGCATGTTCCTAGGCGCAGCTGTACTATTATTTGCTGTTTCTTGTCTGATGTCTTCTTGGTAGGGGAAGCAAATGGGCTTGGCCTACCAGCATGTCATGTTCACTGCCTCACTGTATAGGAAGCAAGATGTTTAGTTTATACATGAGATCTTTGCAATACCTCCTTGAGATAGATTAGGCAGGAATTACTGTCTCCATGTAGAAAGTAAGGAATCTGAATTTAATGTGGATAGAATGGCAAACCACAATTATATATATAGATATAGCTATATATCTATATCTATATCTATATCTATATGTTAATTATATACTGCAATTAAGTAAAGATTCAGCCAGCCAACCATTTTTACTGTGCTTTACTCAAATATTAAGCAGCTGTGCAGTTCAGCAATGGCATAGGTCTTTGTTTCTTGTTTATCCTAGGGCTCATTTACTGATTTTCATGTCTTTTCCCCTCACAGTTAATGCTAGATCATGTGGCTTTATAGTGTATCAAAATGACAAGCTTTTCCAATCAAAAACTTTTACAAGTAAGTTAAATGTTAACCAAAAAGTTGTGTCAAGCAAGACTGATAAAGAAATGCACAAGGAGAATCAGGATGTTTCTGTTGAAATGGCCTTTCGCCCACAGGTGAGTTTTCCCGTTAACATAAGTTAAAGAATTCAGCTAATTCTTGATTACAAAAGCAGGGATAATTTGGGCAAAAGAAATCCTCAGAAAAGCCCTTTGAAAGAATCTTTGAAAGTGTTCATTTAAACCTTCCACCTAACCATATTTTTTTGTCAGACTAGCTAAATACAAAATTATCTAATTTAAATTTTATATTCTTTTCCCTACCCTAATCTCTAATGAAGATGTTATGCTTAGTACATATCTAATTAATTTTTCATATGCCTGTATTATCCAATTTGATTTTTTTCTACCAATTAAGCATTAAAACAACCAGTTGCAACTGTCTTATCAATTCATAGCACAACTCAAACGAACTCAAACTCCTTTCCTATGCCTGTGTCTATTGGAATACTATAACAGAGGATTGGGACACAAAAGGCTGTTACAAAAGAAATCTCACTAATGGATTCCTGCGCTGCCACTGCAACCACATGACTAATTTTGCTGTGTTAATGGTAAGAGTATACATTGCAATCTCTTTCCAGATAAGAATTTTCCTTATACACAATTTTGGTATGTATTAGTAGGAGATAACTTTGGGGCTTAGTTTACATGGATACTCAACTCAGATTAAATGGAAAAACAGGGATGGAATGATGAGACTGAAAAGGGAAGTGCTAGTAAAGTCAAGTAGAATAGAGGTTTTGTTTTTGCAATTAGGTCTCAGGATAGATGAGTTCAGCACTGTGTATTTAATAATGAGAAGGGAGCCTGTGTAAAAAAGAGGAGCTGACAGACTCCATTCAACTAACTTGCATGTTCTGAAGCATGAAATTATAGACAGAGCATAAGGCTGTAGAGCTAGCTGTGTGCTGGGGACAAGTTCAATACATACTTCGCTGTTGGGGGGCGGGGCGGTTTAAATCAGTCACCCAAAGCTTTTTCCGTTGTAATCATCTAAGTTACTAAGTTTGTGCTAGAAGATATAAGAGGAAAAACTCTTGAATTCATTCAATTTGTCCCATAGTTCCTGTATGTATTTCTTAAATCTTTTAACTCCAAACTCTTCTGTACAAGTAACAGATAACACTTAGCTCTGGTGTACAGTTGTACTGCACCTCTGAAAGTTCTTGGGCTGACCCTTTTAAGAAGAGGGGTTTCTGTTTGTTCCATTTCCAAAAATGTTTTATTCTGGTGAAACCCAAAATATTAGTTTATACTTGATGGAATGTATTTATATGCAATGAAATGTGTGTCTTACCCTTACTAAGGACCTGTTAGTGCTATGAATCTCCCAAGGAGAAGCAGATGTTTTCATTCCCCAGTAGCCTATGATGTAGCCATATTTGGGAAGCCAATGGAGATCACAACATACTAGTACAACAGAGAATATCAAACGAGAACATTGCTTTAACAGCTTTTTTGAGATAACTATATTTTTCTTACTTTAGTTTAAGAAATCTTTCTTATTTTAACTGATTTTGATTATTTTTCAACTTGTATTACACAGTGATCTTCTTTCTCAATTAGAACATAATAAAGATAACCTTTTAACTTTTTTGATAGTTGAAGGTCATTAGTATCATTGAATAGCTAGCTGTGTAAAACTCAGATTGCTAGACATATTAAAAGATACAGAGTACATTGTAATAGTTATTTTTCTTTTATTTTGAGGTCACTAATACCTGAATCTATCTCAGTGGCTACCTACCACATTTGTAATTAGTTTTGGGTTGCAAAAAAAATTTTTTTTT